CTAAGAATGATTTGATTGCTTTCGCTCCTTTTTTGTCAAAAAGACCTCTTCAAAATGCTTCTTGTTTTCCATCGATCGAACGAATGAAGTTAGTGATAGACGCAACTGTCTTAGCTTCCCGCCATCTATATCAACAGATCGGCAGACCAATGCAAGTGCAGATAGTCTGGTTCCAGATAGGTGTTACCTCAACTATGTCGGACAATAGAATAAAATCGCAGTCTTTCGTAAAGTTACTATGACCTGGCGCAAGAAGACAGACGTACGCAGTAGCGTTCACCCAAAAATGCTTCAACTCATGTTCGCAAGAGAGTTGTGAAAAAGACCCACTCATTGAAGTGCCAAAGTGTTGTCGGGGGACTATCATACGAAAACATGCCCTGTAAAGCATACGAACAAGAGGGCAGGGAGAGTTATGAGTTTGAACTACTTAGTTCTGCTGATGCCATTTTTATCCTGGACAAGAAACGGGAATAGGATCGGAGCGGCCACTGGAAAATATTTGATGACTGACTACGTAAGAATAGTGTCCGTTGGGACGCAGAGTCTTCATCAAGGACCAGAATTTATTCGCAAACAGGACGGGCAAATATTCATCATTTTTATTTTATGTATATCCAGCGATCTCCAAAAGGAAATGATGCAGTGTTATTTCCTCACATGATAAATTCAACCGTAACATCCAAAAGGACCAAAAACCCTACTACTGGCTAAGAATGACTAATCAAACCAGGAATCGCATCCCAAAGTACACCGTCTGTCAAACCATCGACACACTAAATAAAGACAGAACCTATGTTGCTACGATAACTACTGAGTCTCAGTCACACTGTTTAGCAGAAGTGAATCGTTTCGAATTCATTCAGAAGCACAAGTTCGTAGTAGTAGACCATAACAGTGTTTTTTCGAAATCCATCTACTGATCAATAACGTGGCTACATCAGCGATAAGCAACCTGTCTCACTTTGCACGATGTAGGATTGTTGACGTTCCAAAGTCGGATACTGGACCATAATTTAGGTACAAAGGGTTAAAAACTTCCGAGTAACGTGGTGTTTTAAGCGTCAGACTAGCAACGAGCTTGGCAGAAATGCGGAATCAGCTACTAGAGCAGATAAATGGTTTATGACGAGAGTCCGAAGTGCAAGAAAGGACCCATACTTAGAGTTTCTGGAGCGCTGTCAAAATGATATAGTTTATGGAGCGGTTGTGTGAACCGAAAAAATGGAAAGCAACTTCTACGGATGTCATAGCAAAGCCCTATCAGAAGTTCGCTTAAGAAAGGATGCTTTAGTGGAAAATGCGTCACTTTAGCTTAATGAAAGGATTGAAGATGTAATTCGAGTACGACCCGAAGCCGATAGAGCCTGTGAATGAGGGACCTAATTCACTTGTGTGAATGATCATCAAATTGCGAAGGAATGTACATACAGGCTGAAGAACGGGGACTGATTTTGATTTGATACTATTATGCAGAAAAACTGTGTCTCATACGGAAAACAGTTTTAATGCATCCACACCAGTTGCTGGTCAGTGGATGACTCCTTTTTGAAAGCGCGCTCACAAACATCTCTGTGGACTGGCATCGTTCAAACATGGCTCGAATGATATTCTTTCTGGAAAAGATTCAACTTTTCACAACGATAAAGTTCACTCGACGAGTAAGAACATCTTTGGTGAGTTATAATGCCATATTGCGTCATTCTGGAAGCGTGCTGCTGTGTTGTTTCACAATAGTGAAGTCAAGTCAAACGTGCGAACTTTTATTAGCCTCGATGTTAGCGAAAATCTGTCTTTCAGTCTATGTGGTCCATGACAGTCTACGACCGATAATTCTTGTGTCACCTATGACTTATTGCTTGCATCATAGCTCATTTGACGTTCAGCTGACTTTTAGTATTGTAGCATATCCCTTTGAATATAAGGCCATTTACCAAATGAACGAGCTTGCCCTTTTCAAAAATATAGGGCGAACGGGTCGCCGATTTCTAGAAGAAACACCACCTTTCCGGAAACAATGCTTCGACTGGGAAATCTGTGGATCCTGGGGCAGTTGGCGCACCCATCATTCCATAAGTTTGTTCAAACCATTCATCTACGACAGGAAATTCAACATCGATACCTTTGTCTTACGTCAGAATTTCATCAGCCAGCTTTACTAATAGAAACAAAGCTAACAGAAAAATCTACAGCTGAAATTCACGCTGATGATTATGAGTTCGATGCGGTTCTACCTACCGTAATACTTTCTTAGTACCCCATGGACGAGAAAGTCCTACCAGCCACAAACCCTGTCTCACCTATTTTTCCACTGTATCCTTTCGGCTGGACAAACCAAAAACCAAAACTATACTTTTTCACATTCACAATGTGCTAATAACCTTGTTCGGAGTCAGACATCTTGTGTCACATGTTGCCACCTCATAGCGACAGATTTTGTTTGAAGTGGATCAGAATGCCGAACAAATGACTGTGGCCAACGTATGAACGTAGCATCATAGATCGATAGGTGGAATCTGTTCACAGCATTCTTGTGTGATGACCTAATTCATCCAGTATTCCAACACGAAAAAGACGACACGTCTAACCAAACATACGCTGAATAAAAGTATCTGAATGTCTTAGAATCCAATCTACCCCTCTCTGGACGAGAAAACAGGCAGGTGTGAAAGTTCAGGACCATTCAGACAAGATATTTAAACGAAACTCATGTGACTTCCGTCCCCTGTATTCGTTTCAGTGTACAATCCCTCAAGAAGCCCAAACCCCGTATGACTGTGCGTATGATGCACGCAATCACGTGGCTAACCCAGAATGAAGATTGGATTTGCGTCGTCACTGTGGCAAATAACCGCAGTAAACAAATCAGTATGAGTCTAAGCTAGTCATCTGGAAAGGATTTCAGACAAAATGCTGTGTCTTTCCGAATAAGGAAATAGGTTGGGCAGGAAAAGCCCAAAAGGCCTGCCACTAGGCGTGGTTGGTGTAGGGGAGGGCTGTGCCTTCATGCACCACATCGTTCGGAAACCATCATGTCCAAAGTAGTGTCCATCTGCACACTTAGCAAGATAAGAGTTTGGTTTGCCAATGTATCAACAAGAACTGTGCAAATCCCGCAACCATCAACCAAACGTCGTCCAGCAAGTCTCAAGCTTTGGTAATGCAATCCCATTGGGAAATCCTGACAAGTGGGTCGACCAATCGATACAGCCAGGATGACTACTGGCTGTTGGGTAAGCGAATCACATTGCATAATCGTTAACATATTTGCCTGATCAGCTGCGATATTCCAGGCACGTCCTGGTACAACAGTCAGTGA